AGACAAATTTCGACTTTTCAACTAGCCATTTTTGACGGAATTTTTTTTATATCATCCGAAAGCCATTGTTGTCCTGAGCTTAAATTTGAAAAGATATTTCACCTGTGATCATTTTTTGTAAAGTTATGAGGGTTTAAAGATTGCCATTTTGACCAATTTGGGACAATTAACGCGCGATATAATTGGCGCTCTTAACGCGTAAGCGGAGATTTAATCCGTCTTACAAATCGTTCCAAATTGGTTGAACGAAGCTTATTTGCCATAATTGATTTGTTACAAGGAATAAAATCTATCTTTTTGTACTTCAAATGGCGTGTGGGGGGATGATTTTCATAAAAAATTTCAAATTTGAAAAAAAAAATTCATTTTATTTTATTTCATTTAAATTTTTATGTTATTACTGCTGTTCCATAAACCTTAAAAGGCAGTAGGAACATTCAGGGCTTCGCCCTGATACGAGCAGTCTTGTTTCAGTTTGATTTTGATTTGGGCAGTACGGAAAATCGATCCTCACTGGATTAATGGAAATATACTCGGTAGCGAGATAATGGTTACCGACCATAAAATACAATGCAGAGCGCAAGGACTCGTCTTCCTGTCTGAACATGTCCATTCTGACCGGTGCAGTATTACCATTATCAGGGTGAAAAACAGTACCCACTTCATCAATAAAACAACTTGTACTTGGATAATGAGGACGGACAGCTGCTGATGATTCACTTAAAGATGAGCCGTGAAAAGAGTCCAAGGCTGACTCCGTTTTAGTATTCATGTTTCTTTTCTCCGATTTATAAATTGATTAGATTGGTCAATAAGAGTAGTCTCTCCTGTCTGGGTAGCAATAGATAGACTTTTAAGAGGTCCAAAAGCGCCCCCGTCATCATCAAGAAGATTATTACCATTATTCTCCCATTTAAATTCTGTCTCGAGCAACCAGCGCAGCAATTTGACATCGATAAATTCAGGTTGATCCTTTATATTTATCAGCTTGTCCTGTTGCTCATAAATCTTTGCTTTAACACTGACTAACTTTCTCATTTGCAGCTCAAGTTCCTCAGTTTTCTGTTCTAGTTTTTTAATATTTTACAGCAAGCGGAATTAACAATTGACTTTATGTTTTTTGAGAACGAAATGAAATCGTGATCTGAATGAAGATCATCATCTGAGCATTCTATGCACATTGTACATTCACAATTCTTACACCAAAATTTTACTGGAAATTTAGGATGCTCGGAGCAAAATAAGGTTCCAGGTACCTTCTTTAAAGCCTCTTCTGTTACATCTTGCTGCTCCTCTAGAAAATCTCTAAGGCCATACATTGGCTTCAGGTCTTCGATAATAATTTGATGATCAATTTTACAAATTGCACATCTGTACAGGCTTTCATTTTTTAAGATTTCCAAACAAGGTTTATGTGGACCACAATAACAGTGTCCACAAGGCAACTGTCTTGGATCGTCCAAAAAATCAGTACAAATAGAGCATTCGGGTAAATTTAACGGCGCATCCATTTTCAGGTTTTGATTGGATTAGTCAAAAGACAACTTTTTTGCTTGTAAAAAGATGACAGAGACTGACTACGTTCCACCACAAGGAATGTAAGAGCACAAAATTATCTGAAACATTTTAAATGAGGACATGGGTATTGAAACGAGAGTAACCACAGACCTATTGCTATATTATCTTTCATAGGTTTTTCACAACAATTTAACGAAACGATGGAAAATTATTTTATAACAATTCGATCAAAAAAAATCCGCCCTAATACAACCTATGGTACCAAACTCACCCTGTGCCATTTACCCCCTATTTTCAACACTTTCCCTGCAGCAAAGTTTAAATTATCTCTTCGAGAAAGAGACGTGGTTCATGAATCATTAAAGAGACGTGGTTCATGAATCATTTCATGTCGCGTTCCACTGAGCCATAGATATTTGTTCGAACGGGTACAAAAACTTTTTATTGTCAAGAAAGCGCTAAATGAAGCTTCCAAAACCAGTTTTTCTGAAGTACAATAAGAACGGGCTACTAAAATCGCGTGGTTATAGCAGAATATAAAATAAAATCGGTAAATTAAATAGCTCTTAAGCTTAGCCAACAGATGGTTGGAAAAGTTTAAAGGAACTCAAGGAAACCGGAACAACTTGATTGAAATTGATGCAAAAATCTGAAATTCAACGAAAAAGTTTTAGGAAAAAAATCAAGGAAATTCAAGCAAAAATTCACACTAAAGCTCTTTGATTTTCAAGAAAAGTTTATGATAGACCTTAAATTTTTTCCATTTAGAGAAGACTGGATCATTAGGTTTTTTATTCCGCTGGAAATTCATAACAAAAACGTCAATTTTGAAAATAGACGTCGATGCCTTTTAAACTTTTCGTGCCTTTTAAGCTTTTGCTGTTCGTTAGTTGAGCTGGCCTCTTTTTAACAAAAAATGAACTGAAGATTTAAAAAAATTAAACATCAAACCGCGAAAAAATAAGAAATCGAATGTGAACAATTAGAATTTTGTTCACGCTCACAAATCATCAGTACCTGCATAAATGAAAGCCACTTCTGTTCTTTAAAACTTAGTAACGACAGGCTAGCTTTCTGAAGAATGAGACAATCATAACAAAATCATTACATTGAGGTGCCAAATTTGAAAAAACAATATGAACGAAAATATGGAACTGAGGCTTATTCAACAGTCATAACAAAATAGGCAAACTGGACAACATTTTGTGAAGAAAAATGACTGAAAAAAAAAACGAAAAAAATATTTTAAGCTAAACTACTAAAATGTATTTAAGACTTTTTTGCAGAACTTTTTTTTGAAAATTTTGATTCTCAAAGAGGTGCAAAAAATTCCAGAAACTAACTTTACTAAGTTTTCACGGCTTAAATTAAGCATACGTAAGCTATTGTAAGCCTGCTAGCTCAAATTTAGACCAAAAATCAAAAACTTTGATTATGTTTTTCTCGATATTGGGATAATTTTTTGAAACTATTTTAAGATTGTTTGAATCACGACTAAAAGGGTTTTACTATGATACATCACTCGACCCATTCCAATAATTATTTGCGATCTGTTTCTGCGTGGAAAAAAAAGAACTAAAACACACCCGAAAGCAAAGTTCCTCCACATTTTCAAGGATCGGAACAATAAATCCTGTACTACTATATAATTCTCATTTCAGAACAAGCACCTGATTTGCTGAAAACCTTTTCTTGAAAGACATGAAAGTAGCAAATCGTAAATGATTAGCTAATTCCCGCCAATTATGAGCTGTTAAAAAGAAAAATGGATGCGGATTTCAGCGAAACCGAATGATACAATCACAATAAGACTGAAGATTATGTTCCTGATTTCATCAGCTTAGAAAATCCTAATAGGTGACTTCAAATTTTTTTAATAAGTAAATTTGAAATCAAATATGATTTGAACAGAGTCATCTTTTGAACATCTAGTTTCAGATACAAAGAAGCTACAAAAATATGCTTTTAACCAAGCTACAAAATAATTTTTCTAGTTGTAATCAAACATATTTGTCATCACATTAGCGTCATGAAATGAAGTAAACTGAAACAGATATTTGGTAGGATGTACCACATGTGCAAGAAAACGTTGTATTTTACAGCTATGTCTGCTCCTCGGATATCAAGATATACCTTTAGTTTATTATTTTGTTTCTGAATTCGCATTTGGAATTATTTTGATTTGGGTGGTACGGAAAATCTATCCTCACGGGATTAATAAATATATGTTGGGAAGAGAGAATGGTTATTCAACAAAATATCGAGCGCAGATCGCAATGCCTCGCCCTCCTTTCAAAACATGTACATTTTAACTGGTGCTGGTTCGTTGTTGCCATCATAACCATAATCAGGATAAAAAACAGGATCTAAATAATTATTATCTGGATTATTCTCATATCTTGTATTTGGATAACATATAATTTTATCATTGCACTGCTAATTGAAACAAATAACTTTCATAGGCTCAATAGATCAGTTGAAAATGCATCAAATATGTTAACTTTTGTTAATCAAATGTCAAAGCACACATGCCATTATACTGCGACAGCAGCCTACCGATTCAAAGTGCCACTAAAATTAGCACTTTTACTTGCGACTTGGGCTGGAAAAAAGAAGGTTCGTAGCAATGCACTTCGCTCACAAGTTTAAATAAAAAATTATATCACGCTAAAGCTCTTTGAATTTTAAGATCTGTTTATGATTGACTTTTTTAAAGTGATCCTATCTACAGAAAACCGGATCAATGAAAAAATTTTTTCCGCTAGAAATTTGAAAAACCAAAAACCATTTTGAAACTAGAATCACGCTTTTCATGACCCTTACACTTTAGCCGTTGGATAGTGGAGCTTGCTATCCTTTTAACATAGAAGTCAATCAACTAAATGAAAATTAGTGCAAGTGAAAAACTTCGTTTTATCACACTTGAAAACGAAAAGCTAGCTATGTGAAGAGTGAAGTTATTCTAACAAATTCACATCATTTGACAGGTGCCGATTTCAAGGGAACGAGCGCAAGTTTCAATAAACTATTTGATCATTGCCTTCATACATTATTTTGCTGAAATTTTTTTACAAGAGGCGTTTTCTTTTTCAAGTCCAATTAGATTGTTCTCATTTCAGAGCAGGCACCTGATTTTCTGACAAGCCTTATCTAGAATGGCAGCAAAGTAACAAATCTTAATTGATGAGCGTCTTACCGCAAATTAAAAGCTGTTCGAAAGATTAAGTGAGTAATTTAACTCACCGCTTTTCGCTTCAGTGAGTCAATTTGAAAAACGATGCAGACTTTACCAAAAAAGAATGATACATTAAGATTGAAAGTTGTTTTGCCGTTTTCATTCGCTTAGAAACTCCTAAATTATGACTTTGATTTCAAACTTACTAATTGAAATAAACAATTGATGGTTTGAACAAATTGATTTTTTGAACTAATAGTTTCAGATGCAAAGAACTTGCTAGTTATTAATCAAGCTATAAAAATAGTTTGCTAAGTAAAATTTATTGGCATGAAATGAATTGAAGCAGATATTTTGTAGTCAGTATTTGGTGGCATCATTACGGGCAGTTCCGGCCAGTTAAGTTTTGTAACTTTAGCTATTGGTTCTTGGTTGATGCTATCTTCAAGTAACTGGTCTCTCCAAATCCAGTAGTCGGGTCCAACCGCACGTTTGAACAAAACGGTGTATTTTACACCGCTTTCTGCTCCTCGGATGTCAAGATATACCTTAAGTTTATCATTTTGTTTCTGAATTCGCATTTGGAATAAGCAAAACTTGTTTATAAGATAATCAGATGAGATTTTATGACTTTCGTTTTGATTTGGGTGGTACGGAAAATCGATCCTCACGGGATTAATAGAAATATCCTGGGAAGAGAGATAATGGTATTCCACCGAAAAATCGAGCGCAGATCGCAATGCCTCGTCCTCCTGTCTGAACATGTCCATTCTAACCGGTGCTGGTTTGTTGTTGTCATTATAGTCATAATCAGGATCTAAATATTTATAATCTGTATTATTATCATATCTTGTACTTGGATCATGATCATTCACTTTCGGACGAACAGCTTCTGATGATGCACCAAAAGAGGAGCTAGGAAACGACTCCAAAGCTGGCTGCTCTGTTTGAGATCCAAAAGCGCCACCGTCGTCATCAATAAGATTATTACCATCATTTTCCCGTTCAAATTTTGTATCGAACAACCAGCGTAGCAATTTGACATCGCTAAATGCAGGTTGATCCCTTATACTTACCAGTTTGCACTGTTGCTCATAAATCTTTGCTTTCTCATCGACTAACTTCCTGATTTGCGTTTCGAGTTCCTCTGTTTTCTGTACTAGCGTTTTAATATTTTTACAGCAAGCGGAATTAACAATTGACTGTATGTTTTTTGAGAACGAAATGAAATCGTGATCTGAATGAAGATCATCATCTGAACATTCTATGCACATTGTACATTCACAATTCTTACACCAAAATTTCACTGGAAATTTAGGATGCTCGGAGCAAAATAAGGTTACAGGTACCTTCTTTAAAGCGCCTTCTGTTACATCTTGCTGCTCCTTTAGAAAATCTCTAAGTCCATACATTGGCTTCAGGTCTTCGATAATAATTTGATGATCAATTTTACAAATTGCACATCTGTACAGGCTTTCATTTTTCAAGATTTCCAAACAAGGTTTATGTGGGCCACAATAACAGTGTCCACAAGGCAACTGTCTTGGATCGTCCAAAAAATCAAAACAAATAGAGCATTCGGGTAAATTTAACGGCGCATCCATTTTCAGGTTTTGATTGGATTAGTCAAAAGACAATTTTTTTTGCTTGTAAAAAGATGACAGAGACTGACTACGTTCCACCACAAGGAATGTAAGAGCACAAAATAATCTGAAACATTTTAAATGAGGACACGGGTATTGAGACGAGAGTAACCACAGACCTATTGCTATATTATTTTTCATAGGTTTTTCATAACAATTTAACGAAACGATGGAAAATTATTTTATAACATTTCGATCAAAAAAAAAACGCCCTACTCCAACCTATGGTACCAAAGTCACCCTGTGTCATTTACCCCCTATTTTCAACACTTTCCCTGCAGCAAAGTTTAATATATCTCTTCGAGAAAGAGACGTGGTTCGTGAATCATTTCATGTCGCGTTCCACTGAGCCATAGATATTTGTTTGAACGGGTACAAAAACTTTTTATTGTCAAGAAAGCGCTAAATGAAGCTTCCAAAACCAGTTTTTCTGAAGTACAATAAGAACGGGCTACTTTATTTAGTCTCGCTTAAATCGCGTGGTTATAGCAGAATATAAAATAAAAACGCTAAAGTAAATAGGTCTTAAGCTTAGCCAACAGATGGTTGGAAAAGTTTAAAGGAACTCAAGGAAACCGGAACTTGATTGAAATTGATGCAATTTGATGCAAAAACCTGAAATTCAACGAAAAAGTTTTAGGAAAAAAATCAAGGAAATTCAAGGAAAAAATCACACTAAATCTCTTTGATTTTCAAGAAAAGTTTATGATAGACCTTAAATTTTTTCCATTTAGAGAAGACTGGATCATTAGGTTTTTTATTCCGCTGGAAATTCATAACAAAAACGTCAATTTTGAAAATAGACGACGATGCCTTTTAAGCTTTTCGTGCCTTCTAAGCTTTTGCTGTTCGTTAGTTGAGCTGGCCTCTTTTTGACAAAAAAAGAACTGAAGATTTAAAAAAATTAAACATCAAACCGCGAAAAAAGACAAATTCGAGCGTGAACAATTAAAACTTTGTGCACGCTCAAATATCATCAGTACCTGCATAAATGAAAGCCATTTCCGTTCTTTAAAACTTGGAAACGACAGGCTAGCAATGCTTTAAATGGAAGAATCTTAATTCTTGCGATGAGTATAATAATGATGTACCTAACTTTTCCAAAATCAAAAAATAATAATTTTGTCAGATAATAAAAATGACTAAAATGCTCTACTTCATCAAACAGCAAACTATAACATCGGCAAAAAAATCGTAAAAAAAACAAGGTGGCCGAAAAAATGGATTGAAAATTTTTGAACATGATTCATTTTTTTTCGAATTTTGAAGAAAAGGTATATCGGGTTGAAACTTTTTTAGTTTCAGGAACGAATTATGATTAAAAAATTTTTGATAAGACTAACCCAATTTAAAAAAATGGATCATTGAGTAAATAATTATCTACGATGGAAAATCTAAAAATTTAACTAAACGTTCGAAATAAGAAGTCTTTCACGTTTTTTGCGCCAATTTTGGAGAGTGCTTTCGCAATTGGAGAGTGCAATTTGGGCAATTTATCCTAAATTTAGCGGATGAATTTGAATTGGACTTAATATACCTCAGTGCATTCGAAAATGCAATAATACATATGAGGCACTTCTGTTGTTATAAGAGCATCCAAAGAATTTTTCCTGAAAAAAAAAAAAACAAAACCGATATACAAGAAAATCACTTCTATTTTATAGATATAAGCTTTTCGCTAATAATCAATAAATGTTACTTATTTAATAATTTCATAGGCGTTTTCAATATTCATTTTCTCATAGTACTTCATGGTTGTAACTATGAACAGAAATTGCTTCAAAATGTGTGTATTTTTGTATAAAAAAATTGAAACATAGAAGAGAAGCAACGCTCACGCAAGAAACTAGCAGCAGGTAAAAGTTATCTTAGTAGTTTTTTAGAAGTTAGTTTTGAAATATGTCGAATTTGTTTTAGTAGGTTGGTTTGCTTCGAAAAACAAAGTTTAAGAAAACAATTGAAGCACTAGCGCTCGCATAACATAAATGTCAATTCAGAAGGAATCCGTTCGCAAACAATTCAAAATTTTATCAACAAGCTATTTAAGCAAGGAAATATTCCAGGTTACAACATATAGCAAATCAGTTCTTGAAAAATTTACGTCTCTCCATGCAAACTTATTAAGCATTGTAAGTTTGAAGTTTTCGGTATTTGGATTTAATTTACAAAGCGAATGGTCTAGCAAGAAAAAAGTTTTCTAGGCCAGCTATTGAAGCAATGAAACTTCAAAAACTCAAGTTCTCCCATAGATCTAAAATATTCGCGAAAGGGTAAGTCCTAAAAAGAAACCAATCAAGCAACTTCACTTTCAAAAATTTAGTGTTTTTTCAATGAGCAAATTCGATCAAAGAAAGTTCAAAGCAAAGCAATTATATCATGAAACTATACCAGCTTTGATGAAATTTCATAGAGCAAATCAGCAGGGGAAGTTTTCCGAAGCACGCTCGCTATTTAAGCCATGAAACTATGATTTATGTCAAGACATTTGAAGAGCAGATCAGTTTGCAAAAGGTTCCTACTTTTTATAAACAAGCAAGGAAAAAATTCAAGTTATTTCATGGAGCAATTCGGCTCTAGAAAAAAAGAAATTTTAACGAGTAAGCAACTCCAGCAATGGAAATTTTAAATATCTTGCAGTTGTTTCAAAATCTCCGATTATTCAACAAAAAATTAAACTTATTCAAGAAAATTATTCAAATAAAGAAACTGTGAAATTTTTCTTGTTATTTCATAGAACAAATTGATTTGCAAACAATTCAAGTTTTATAATTCAATAAGCTATCAAAGAGATGAGGCTTCGAAAAAACTTAAGTTTTTCATGAACGGAAACGGATAGCTAAAAACTTGAGATTTTCTTTTGGAGTTATTCAACTCTTGGGAAAATTTCAAGCTATGCCATAGAACGAATTAGTTTGCAAAAAATCCGAGTTTTTCTATGCAAGCAACCAAATCGATGAAGCTTATTACTTTTTCAAATTTAAAAAAATTAGTGAAACGTTCAAGTAAAACAACATAAATAAATCAGTTTTTTCATGAAACGACTCGGTTTGCGAACAAAAGAAAGTTTTTCAAGCCAGTTTTTAAGGAAAATAAAATTTGTAAAAAATCCGAATTTGCTTCAATGACTACGATTGCTTCGAACAAAAAATAAATTTCGAAAAAAAAATGAAGTGCTGAAAGTTTCAAAATTTCAAACTTTTCGACGTTTTTTTCGCAAATGATTCAATTTTATAAATAACTTGAATTTGTTTTCATAACTTGGATTGCTTCGCAAAAAATAAACTTGAAGAGAAAAAATGAAGAGCTGAAACGTTCAAAAAAATCATATTACTTCGAACGAATCGTTTCGCAAACAATTCAAACTTTTCTAAGCAAGCTATCAAAGAGATAAAGCTTTGATATTTTGCAAGTTATTTCAACGAGAAAACTGGTTGGCAGAAAATTAAGTTTTTCGATGTTTATGTGATAAAATTTTGAAATTTTATCGAGTTGTTTTCATAGCTGGGGTTGCATCGCCGCAAAAAAGTGGTTATTCAAGAAAGCTAATTAAGTGATGAAACATGAAAAAAGGTCAAGATAATCCAGAGAATGAATCAGTTTTCAGAAAGTTCAAGTTTTTCTAACCAATCAAGTACTTAATAGGGCGAAGTGAAATCAATACTTCAGTTATTTCAAATAAAAATTTGGCCGCAAAAAAGCAGAAGTTTTCCTATACATGCTTTTTTAAAGAAAGTAAACTTTTGATATTATTTCGAAGTTGTTTTCAAAGCTTGGATTGCTTAGCAAAAAATTTTACGATATTCAGGCTAGCTATAAAAGCGACAAAATTATGATTTCTAAAACATTCTTGTCGTTTTCTTAAACTTTGAGCTCAGAGAACTTTCTTCAACATTGCGCTCGACAAAAATAAAACATTGCGTTCAATCAAACATTTATTTTCTATCGAAAAATTGAAACATAAAAGAGACTCCACGCATGAAAAGAGCGGCAAGCAAGTCGAAGTTAAACAACTTCGGAAATACTACTTGAAATACCTGAGCAATTAAAACTGAATTTGACAGCGCGAGGCTGCTCTCTTAGATGAGCACATTGATAGGCATGCACATTACTATCAGACCACTTAAGTTTGACTACTCGTTTAAAAAAATTAAGTTTAAAAAAATTAGACTCATAAAACAACACCGGCGCTGCATGTGTAAAAAAGTAACATTCTTAAATATAATTTGTATGATCGACAGCGTTTCATATAAAAAGCATTGATCTCCAACACTTTTTTCAACAGTATTACAGGCTCTCAGATACAATGCAAAGTTTGCGGTCATTTGGTTGAAAAAATGAGTCTCATTTAAACTAACAACTAATGATGGGACAATAATAATAGAATTTTTGAGACAACTGATGTCCATCACCGTATTTTAAAAGTTGTCACTTCTGATGCCAAAATTTTTTGAGCTCTTCTACAACACCAAGGAGATCCATTTTGACAACCAATGGCAAATTTTAGCGTAAAAAAGTTGCTAATTTTTTTTATGGAAACTAGCGCGGCAATCGCACCTCCGGTGCTACAAAACCAAGTCTTCAGAAAACAGACAACCCACTATAGCTTTGAGAAATCAAGTTCGGTTAGTTTTTTAATCTAGTTTTTTTTTGAAAAAAAAAAAATGAAAAAGAATGAAAAAAATCATAAAAAACGCCATATCTCGAAAACCAAAACAATTTGAGCAGTCATACTTGGACGGAAGATTTGCAACTCCTGGATTTTCCCGGATAGCAACCCATTATAGGGTTGAGAAATTCAAGTTCGGTTAGTTTTTTATATCTAATTTTTTTTGGAAAAAAAGAAAAATCATGAAAAACGCCATATCTCGAAAACCAAAAGAAATTGAGCAGTCATACTTGGACGCCAGATTTGCAACCCCTGAATGTATCCACCCTGATAGCAACCCACTATAGGGTTGAGAATCTCAAGCTCGGTTCGTTTTTATATATCTAAGTTTTTTTGAAAAAAGAAAGAAAAAAATCATAAAAAAACGACATATCTCGAAAACCAAAAAGATTTGAGC